CATTCACTGTGGCCTAGAAAATAGATATGATTTATTTATGATCCTTGACTGCATCCTAAGTGACATTCTTAATATTTATTTTTGTCAGGGCTGGCTTTATATTAACCGAATTCCAAGGCCTTACATATATTGTAGCATGGGACAGTGTCTTCATTTATAGGATCAAATGTGATTGTTTCATGGCCCAAGCCCTGACATGCCTCTGGGCCTGGCTCAGAAGTTTCAAGTTTGCCTTTTTAGGACAATGATTGAAATATCTCCAGTGGCTCAACAACTGTTGGATCTTTCCACAAATCAACCAAAGGGAGGCAGCTGGCAGCAGGCAATGGGCTTTGAGCTCTATTGCATAAGGAGGTACAGAAGCAAGGGCATAACACATCAGTGAAAATGAAGAAGCAAAAGAAATCACTAGTTTGGCTTACAAATCTAACACTTGCTAGCTGCACATGATATGCCAACTTTTTAGTAACTATGGCCAATATTTGATCTCAACTTACTATCCAACCTATTTTTGGACTTGTTCCTTTTCATCTTCTACAATTGCCAAATGACCACAAAATGAAACCTGATATTCACCAAAGGAAACTTGAGAAGACACAACTCATCCTATCTAATAAAGAGGGAATATGCAAATTGACCATCACATTGTCACAAAGATGGTGGCATCCCGTCCTTTCAATCCCGCCAGAGTCCCCCAGTCCTTTCAGCCCTGGCAGGAAGGGGGTGGTGGTGGTAGGCATGTGGTGTGGCCAGACCTGTTCTTAGCCCCCCAGCTGCCCAGGGATGATCCGAGGTGCAGGCAAATCTCCGATGGTGGCTGCTCAGCTGCCCAGGGTCACCCAAGGCTCAGATAACCAGGGCCAGCCAAGGCTTGCACTGCCGGCAGTGGCAGCAGCAGAGGTGTGATGGGGGTGTCACCTCCTCTTGATCACCAGGTCATCTCCCACCCCTGAGGGCTCCCAGGCTGTGAGAGGGTGCAGGCTGGGCTGAGGGACCCCTCTCCAGTGCATGAATTTTCATGCACTGGGCCTCTAGTATAAAAATAAAAAAAGATATTTGAAAGATAAATTAAAAATGACTTGGAGTATCTGAGTGTGAGTGCCTTTTGAAGAGTATGAATAAATGAGGGTTCACTGAATTCCAGGCAGTATCTTTTTATCAACTTTAAAATATTCAATCAAAAACCATAATAAAATTTTAGATATATAACCATTTTTAGATATGTAAAATAATAACATCTATTTTGGCACTTTGATAATAATATTAATATAACATTAATTTAAGCATAGTAATCAGCATGTAATTCTTCTGTTGATTTTTTGAGTATCTGTACATTTTTTATTTAATTCCAAAATTAAATAATAAATTTTCATCAAGTCATCTTGAGGCACTACTAATAGATAATACAGCAACTCCATTTTCAGATACCTCTACTTATTTTTTCCTAAGATTGAGAAATAAAAGAAAAGAAAACCATATATACTGTTAGGCCTGGACTGTGGAGCTAACATTTGCATCTAAGTTGCACTGTTTTGCTAGGTTCTTGAGGCTCAGGAACTCAAGATTACTTTGGACATCACTGCTTCCTTCAAGTGATTACTCACACAAGTACATAACCTGATGTATTCAAAGCCAAATTCAAATCAAGAAGTCATTGCTATTTCAAGATTTTGCTTTCCATTTGACAGTTTCTACCTCCTTTCTGCCATCTCAGAAACACCACAGCAAGACCTCATCCCCAAAACCCAAAGAAAGTGATAGCCTCTGTTCTCCACCTTGTATCAGAAAGATTATAAAGAAACTCCTACAAGGAAGAACAAACACAAATGTCCCAGAGAGTGGTCAGAGCAGTCTACCTGTCTTAGAACTGATGTCCATCAGTGTCCAAGTTGACTCTGATACTCTGTTTCTAAAGATCCCAGTTGCTTCCCATCTGGTATTTTATGAGGTCATGCTGTGTATAGAATATTTTATCTTAGACATAATTTTTAAAAGTGTAGAATATGCCGAAACCGGTTTGGCTCAGTGGTAGAGTGTCTGTCTGCAGACTGAAAGATCCCAGGTTCGATTCCGGTCAAGGGCATGTACATTGGTTGCAGGCACAACCCCGGTAGGGGGTGTGCAAGAGGCAGCTGGTTGATGTTTCTCTCTCATTGATGTTTCTAGCTCTCTATCACTCTGTCCTCCTCTCTGTAAAAAATCAATAAAATATATTAAAACTAACTAACTAACTAACTAAATAAATAAATAAATATAAAGAAAAGTGTAGAATGTATAGATAATAAGAATAATTATAGATGCATGTATATACATGGGTTGAGATATACATATACATATACATATACATATGTATATATATGTATTTCCTAGTTCTGACCTACTAAGACCTACTTTCAGGGGTATCCCACTAACAGTAAACACACAGCCAGATGTTCGTTTCTAAATATCATTCTCCAATGAAAGGAAATAGGGATCCTGGAAGAGATGACTGATTCTAGGAGTGGGCAGGGAAAATAAAAGATGAGTCCAGAACACCTTGCAATGCCAGGAAGTAAGGAAAAACTCCAAAAACAAAAGAATGTGAGTACAGCAAAGGAATTCAGAAGTCAATCTCCCAATGGTGAAAGATGAAATAGTTTAAGCAAAAGAATAAACAATCCAGGTTTGATCATAACTCAAAGTAGAAAATAAATATACTTGAGTCCACACTGAAATAGATAAATGATTGAAAAAAGGGAGGAAAAGAGAAAAATCTTCTTTTCACAAGAATTCCAAATAATATGTGCGGACCCTCTCCCTCAAGAAGGTAAAGCTCAACACGCCCCCATTCCCCACACCAAGTGTAGGCTGGACTTAGTTACCTGCTTCCAAAGAACAAAGTATATAAGGGGGAGAAAGACGGGGGGAACCAGGCCAACCCTGCTTTGGCCAGGTGATAAGGGAAACATCACCAGTAATAAGCCATACTGGTAGCATGTAATGACTGATAGCACACGATAAGGACACTTCACTTCTGTTATGTTTTCCCCAAAAAACACATAGCCCCAATATAATCATGAGAAAAGGCATCTAGTAAACCCCAATTTGAGGGACATCCTACAAAATACTTCCCTAGCACTTCTCAAAACCATCGTTAATGAGAAACAAGGACAGACTGAAGCACTGGCATAGACTGTGGGCGGCTAAGGAGACATGATGAGTAATGCAATGTGGTGTCCTGGGTGGAATCCTGGAATAGAGGAAAGTCATTACTGACACAGCCAGTGTAATCCAGGGAAGTCTGAAGTGCGATTAGTAGTAATTGCCAACGTTAATACCTTCATTTTGACAAATGCCCCCAGGGTATGTAAAATAGTAACGCTAAAGGAAACTGGATGGAGAGCATATGGGAACTCTGAACTGTCTTTTGAACTCTTCTGTAAACATAAAATGGTTCCACACTTAAAAGTCTAGTTAAAGAGTCAGAAGAACACAGTCTCTGACATCAGGCAGCTTCGCAGACAGAGAGGCAGAGCACCGCATAGGAGAAAGGGAAGCAATGGGCAGCAAGTGCATGCCTGCTGGCAGTGGACTCAGACGGCCCAGGTTCAAAGACAGTGCAGGTGCATATCATCTACCAGTGAACAGTGCATGAACCAATCTGAATCTGATCAAGGATTTAAGCATTGGGCTAGCTTCAGAGTGTTCCACATAGAGGACCAGCCCGTGGAAGGCTTGAAAGCTGTCAGTACTGAGAGTAAAGGGTCAGAGCACAGCCAGACCAGATTCCTTGAAATGGAGTATTCAGGTTGGCGTAGGGCTGGCCATGTAAATTGAGGTCCCCGTGCAAAATAAAAATGTAGGGCCCCTTGGACAAAAAGCAGAAAATATGGCTTTTTTTCCCCTTAGGCTCTTTCTGTCTCTCTTTTTCTCTGTGTGTCTCCCTCTCTCCCTCTCCCCCCACCCCCTCTCTCTCTCTCTCTGTCTATATCTCTCTTCATACCTGGCATTTTTTGCTATTTAATATCTGCTCCCTTGGACACTGGACATTTGTTGGGTGAGTGAAGGCCCCCACAGATACTAGCAACCCCACCCTGGAACCCCAGCATCTACAATCCAGCTCCAAGGCCCCTGTGAGATGGCTAGTCAAGACCAAAGGTGAACACCCACCCACAGAGGTAGGGAGACAACAGGAGACAGTAGCATGCATGAACTGAGGTTCTGAGTCCCTGCATATGCTTCGTTATCGCATCAGCAGTCACTTACCAAAACACACACACACACACACACACACACACACACACACACACACACAAAGTTTGAGATAAAAGTATTAAAATTTTCCAAGTGGTAATTATATATCACCCAGCCTTGGATGTGTGTGGTGATGGAGTGGGGAGGGGGTCCTTTTGAGCCCAGCGCCCTGTGTGACTACACTGGATGTAGGCACATGAAGCCAACCTGAGTTGGGGGTTGGTGGGAGATTAATCAGGATCGGAAGGGGCTTAACCTATGGAGGATCCTGAAGGCTGAGTTTCATCTGTAACCGTGGACAGAGGCCAGAGGTGACTGAGGAGACAACGAAATTGGATATTAGTGATTAATCTGACAGAAAGTGCATCGTGGATTTGATAGGAGACACTGGTTGGCAGCTTTACCAGTTAGGAATTGAACAATCAGCCTTGGGAAGGAAAGGAGGAAGTAAGCATAACATAGCACTTCCCTATCCTTGAGGCAAACTATTAGACAGTGTTAACAGTTCCGATTCAGAACAGATGGATCAACCCAAACACCATATTCTAATGTTCATTTCTAGTTAGTGGATTTATCTCAAAAAACTCTCGTCAATGTAGCATTTTCCTTTTAGGAGCCCCTTTTATAAAGTTAGAAACAAGCTCAATGAATGTTCCATATGGCTGTGATTGTGGCTGCCATGTATTTTACTGCCAAGGCATTTTAAATCTGTTTCTAATTTTTTTTCCTCTAGAAAGTTCTCAAACTGGTGAATGCTTTCTTCCCAGGTACCTCAAAATCATCAGTCCCTCGATGTAAACCAGGAGCCAACTGTCCTAGTTCACACAGCGGCATCAGTAGGCAGCTGTCCCCTCTGTCTGTCACCGAAGATTCTTCTGCTCCTATTCTTGAACTTCAGAGCCGAGGATCCTCTGGCATTTGTGGACACAGAGTTGAGAGGCCGAACAGATCAGGTATGGTGCCAACCTCTTACTAACAGTACATCCAGGGAACCTTCTATCCAGCTGTCTGCCATTGTCACATAACATAGATGTTACATGGATGTTTAGGAGTGGTGAAAGAAGGTTTGTCAAGCAGGAGGAGACAGAAGAGGGAAATGTATAGATAGGGACAGTCCACAAATTAGGGTGGTTTGGCTTTGGATTTTTTTACTTTAAGATGGTGTGAAACCAAAGTGCATTCAGTAGAAACTACATTTTGAGTTTTGGATCTTGATCTTTTCTGGGCTAGGGATATGTGGTATGATACTCTTTCCTGACGTTGGACAGCAGTAGTAACCACAGCTTCCAGTCAGCCATGCGATCATGAGGGGAAACAAGCTATACTCTACAGTAGGGGTGTTGAACTCAATCAGAGAAGGGGCCAAAATCTAAAATCCAGCCTAAATCGCGGGCCGAATGGTTTACTGAACAGTCATAAACTGTCATTGTGATGGAAACGCAGCGGAGTGCAGTGATGACAGCGCGGTGCGGGCCACATTGCAAGGCCTGGCGGGACGGATTTGGCCCGCGGGCCTTGTGTTTGACACATGTGCTCTACAGTGTAGTATTAATAGCATTTTAGACTTATGATATTTTCAATTTATGATGGGTTGATTGGGGTGAAACCCCATCATAAGTCGAGTATGATTTGTACTACCTTTTAGTGTGCACAATGTAGCAGAGAAAACTGAATACCAAAACCTATTGTTGAAGGGTTTAACATGGCTAAACAATGACATCTAATGGTGTTTACAAGGTAACTGGTGTCTCATCTTCAAGGAATCAAAAGCCAGCATCTTTTATCTCAGCCCTGGGTTACTAAGAGCAGTGTGACCAATCTGAAAAGAATAAAAACACCGGTGGAATCAGACTCTGCTCTTGCCCTCATTGGACTGCCATTCCTTGGAGCACCTGCAGTTTTCACAATTTTACACTTCCTTCAGGACACTTGTCACTTGCCTCTCTAATCAGCATTTGCTGATCAGTCAAGACCTTTAGCCTTTCCTCTCATCTGCCTGACCACTTACCAACTCCTAAGCTACTTGAATTGCTAGATAAATCTCATAACTATATCCATGAGTTTCTCAACAAATTTATCACTTTTAATGTAGCCAACTCCACTAGGCTACTGCCCAATACTGGTTTTTTATGTTGATCATCGTTATGCTATCCCCAGAGAATGCTCTCAATCCCTGAGTCCATACTCACTTCTTATCATATGACTACACTCTACCTTCCCCCAAAGAGCAAAAGAACTGTGTGCTGTTAGGTGCTTTCCTCCCTGCCTCAACATCTCTGTTCCCTTGTTGCCTACTATTATCCATGCGGGACCACCTTTGACTTGCATGTTTTCTACCGTTCTGCTAACTTCTTTTCCTGTATCTAGGGTCACCTCCTCTCCATCTCTTTCACTGGCATTTTTCAATTTCTCCTCCATTTGTTCCCTCAGGTTGGCCAGCAACATGTCCTGAAGCCTTAAAAACAATAACAACAGCAAAAACAGCAAAATACTCAATCCAAAATAATGGGGTAGTAAAAATAAAACAAAACAAAAAAACGGCGGGCCACTGGCTCAGCCCTCCCTCCCTCCCTTGGACAGAATGCGTTAAATGGGTATTCTCGGACAATATCTGCACACGGCGGTAGTGTTCTGTCATTTACACACAATGTTCTCATTAAAAAGTGAATTATAGATACATGCAAAAGAATGAAACTGGATCACCAACTTACACCATACACAAAAATAAACTCAAAATGGATACAGGACTTAAACATAAGACGGGAAACCATAAAAATACTAGAGGCATCCACAGGCAGCAAAATCTCAGACATATGCCAAAAGAACTTCTTCACTGATACTTCTCCTAGGGCAATGGAAGCTAAAGAGAAAATAAACAAATGGGACTACATCAAAATAAAATTTTTTTTACAGCAAAGGAAACCATCAACAAAACAACAAGAAAGCCCTTTATATGGGAGAACATATTTGCAAATGTTATCACTGATAAAGGTTTAATCTCCAACATCTACAGACAGCTTATACAACTTAATAAAAGGAAGATAAATGACCCAATTAAAAAATGGGCAATGGATCTAAATAGAATCTTCTCAAAAGAAGACAGAAGGAAGGCCAAGAGGCACATGAAAATATGCTCAAAGTCACTAATTATCCGAGAAATGCAAATCAAAACAACAATGTAGTACCATCTCACACCTGTCAGAATGGCCAACATCAACAAGTCAACAAACGACAAGTGTTGGCAAGGTTGCGGAAAAAAAGGAACCCTCGTGCACTGCTGGTGGGAATGTAGACTGGTGCAACCACGGTGGAGAACAGTATGGAGCTTCCTCAAAAAACTGAAAATGGAACTCCCATTTGACCCAGTTAATCCCACTCCTAGGAATATATCCCAAGAAGCTAGAAACATCAATCAGAAAAGATATATGCACCCCTATGTTCATAGCAGCACAATTTACAATAGCTAGGATTTGGAAACAGCCTAGGTGCCCATCAGCAGATGATTGGATCCAAAAACTGTGGTACATTTACACAATGGAATATTATACTGCCATAAAAAAGAAAAAATTCTCATCATTTGCAGCAACCTGGATGGAATTGGAGGACATCATGCTGAGTGAAACTAGCCAGTCAATGAAAGAGACACCATATGACTTCACTTATTTATGGATGATAAAGAACATTATAAACTGAAGAACCAAAAGATAGATATAGAGACAGTAAAACAACAAGCAGACTGTCAAATTACAGTGGGGAGGTTGGGGAGATCTGGGGGAGATAATAGATCAACCGAAGGACTTGTATATATGCATATAAGTACAACCTATGGACACAAAACTCTGGGGTGAGAGGATATGTACGGGGGGGAGGGGGCATTGGTATATGTACAAAAATAATAATTTAATAAAAAATATATTTAAAAAAATAAAAATAAAAAGTGAATTATACTCGGGAAAAAAACAACAACCTTAAAACTCTGAGAAAACTGGCTTTAAAAATAAAGAGAAATGACAACTCAGGGAACACGGTTAGGGTGAGATAAACCAAAGTATAGAGGAGGCCTGAAAGCACCTCGAGGGTCCTACTAATTGAGAAGAGGTTTCTTTATGTGAGCAAATATCTTTTTCAGAAAGTGACAATATTTTTAAATGATATGAACTCCAAGATTCAAATTCTTTCAAAAGGTGAAGAAAACGGCTTCTTAAATCTTCATAAAGTTTTAATTGGCTTTAATATGTTGCAGTAATATTCCTATTATTCCAGTCATCTGCAGAGCAGAATGTTCCAGTTAATTAACTGCTGGTTAATAAAGACTTGCCCTATCTATCATATACACATTACACATTTCAAACACTCTACCATTAAAGATCATATGGGACATAATTTACTCTTTCTGTAATGTCCAGAAGCCATTTGGTATATTCCAGGGCACCAAAGAAAAAGAGAACAGAATAATCTGGAAAGCAGCCCACCAGTCGTGTAACTCCTGTTATGGTACTCAGCCTCAAAATGAATGCCATAATATAGATATTATCGCTGTTTGACAGAAAAAGAAACCAAGACTGGAATGAAACGTACACGCAGGGCCATACAATGGCAAGGCCAGGACTTACATGCATGTTTCCAAATTCCAATGGCCTCTACCATTAATTCACATGGCTCCAATCAAAGTCCATAAAAATGGATGGAGTTCCCAATAAATCAATCACAAGGATATATACAAAACTATAAATGTAAGCAGAACTATGTAAAAATCATGTTTAAAATAGAAAAATAAATGAATTCTGGAGACTCAATCTTTGTATCATACCTATAGAGGGAAAATTTAAAGAATTGCCAACAACTAAATGTAGTTAGCAGAAGAATGGGTCGACCCTGTGGGAGGATTTAAGTGACTACTGATGTCATTAGAAGTCCTGTCTGTGGTATGATGGTAGTACAGTACATGAAAGCAGATGCCAGCTCAAAGAGATCCTTAAAATCTCTGTAGAATCATTTCTCCTTTATGAGATAGTCCCTGAGAATAATGTGAATTGAAATGTGATCCATTAAGCGTCACTTCTCTGAAACATCATGCAAGATTGTCATTCCTGCCAGGAAAGAGAACTTTTCCTCCCAACCATTTCTGAAACGTCCAGTGCCTAAACAGAGTGCTCAAGCCTGAATCCCAGACAGAATGAATATTCAGAATAAAAAGCTTGGACCCTGAGGTCATACTGACTTGGAGTTAGCCATGATAATCTTAAGCCAAGTCTCAGGTTTTTCATCTATAAAATGGGAATGATGATACCTTCTTAATTGAATAGATTTGTGTTCCTTCCTAGCCTCCCAACATGAGAATCTCTTATTCTGCCCTCTTATGAATTCTAAGTCCCCTCCCCCCAACTCTCTGCATAAGTCACATGATCAGAGAGGAAATTCGCACAACTGTTTTCAAGAGAAGCTATTCACTGTCCACGGTCAAGGCTAGCTCATACTTTCAGACTCAGCTAATGTCACTGCATCATGAAAGTTTCTCCTGATCATCTCCCACACCACCCCATAATGAGTGCCTGTTCTCAGCCTCTGTTTGGCCTTGTATCTGTCAACGTTGGCCCTTTTCACACTGTCTGAGATGTGCTTTCTGGCTTTCCACCGGGCCATGAACTTGAGTCTTTCATCTTTGAACCCCTGCAACCCAGCAAGCTAACTAACTTCTGATAGCCTCCACAGGATTTGGTTTTCATCCTCTGAAGGCCTAGATGTGAGAACTCAGTACTGCTTGTAAGACTTGAAAGTCGTGTAACTCCTGTAGTAACTCCTGTATTCATCTTTACTTGGTTTATAATCCCCAATGAAGAATTCACTTTCCATACTTGCAATCCCCCACCCCTCCACACCCGCTCTCCCAATAATTATATCAGAAAGCCTTAGCTGGGTGGAAAGCTTTATTCCAATTGCGCATTCACACCTGGCTTACTAAGTCATACGAATGCATACAGCAGGTTCTAGAGATGTAAAGCGAGAAACCCATCTACCTGCAATCTGTGGACTGCACCACACTCTTTACCAGGATAAACCTTGTGCTTCAGGGAGGTGCCTGCAGACACAATGGAATCTTGCAGATAATTCCGCCTCCCTTCCCCCAGGGTTCTACTACCTACGACCTCAGCACTGGGACTCAGGGGGACCTTTTCTCCCCACTTAACTTCCTGACAGGTACATACATTTATTGTTGAACTTGTTTTCCCTGTCATGCCAGAAGGCCTTTAGGGTTGTCACTTTCAGGGAGCTTTGACTATTTTAGTGTGGGGGAAAAAGCTACTAAATATTTTTAGTAAATGTAAAAAAAAAAAAAAAAAAAAAAAAAAAAAAAAAAAAAAAAAAAAATCCAAAACAAAATAGAACTCACTGTGCTCCCAAGGACTACATTAAATAGTAATTTGCCCTGAGGTGGGGAATGGTTTTGTTTAGTCAGGACTTCCTCTATTCTTGGGGCACATTGTTTTCCAATTTCATAGTCATCTTTGCTGCAGGGTTGTTGTTTTTTAAATCCAGTGGAATATAACCACGAATACTTATTTCTCACTCACTTTTCACATCAGCAGATACAAGGCTGCTTTGGCTGGGTTATGCTTGTTCTGCCACATAGACCAAAAGAGCGGCAACTCTGGTACTTGCCATTCTGGTGACAGGGAGGATTCACAAGAGAGCTGGTGGGACCTTTGATGCCTCTTAAAAGGGAGGTGTTACACTGCTCATGTCTGATTAGACAAAGCAGGTCATGTAGCCAAGACCAAACTCTTCGGGGCTGAAATGTGTAAATGCTCTTACAAGAAAGTGGGTAGGGCACCCTGGAAAATAGCACAGCATCCACCATGTTAATGAACATTGTCATGGCCTGGATGAAATAATACTGTACCTTACAGACCGAGATTCTGGAGAGAGCATGAGCCAGAGTTATAAGTCTCTTCAAATGATGAACCTGATTCTGCTACCTGCCTCTTTGATTGCTGTTTCATAATTCGATTCCCACATATTTGGATTCCTTTCCTGTTTTCAGGGGATGATGGAACACAGACCAATCCTGAGAATAGCAGCCAAGAAAACAGAATGAAGGCTCGCTGCCTGTCCTGCTCATCCGTGCTTCTGAAGGCTGTCTGGGGACTCTTGATCATCTTGTCAGTGTCATCGTCTTGGGTCGGAACCACACAGATTGTAAAAATTACTTATAAGAACTTCTACTGCCCATTTTTCATGACTTGGTTTTCAACAAACTGGAACATTATGTTTTTCCCAGTCTATTATTCTGGTCATCTGGCCACTGCTCAAGTAAAGCAATCGCCAATGAAAAAATTCAGGTAGGTTTTGTGTTAAATGGCCAATAGGAGGTTTTCTAAAATATTTTCATGCAAATATGTATGTTTTCATGTCTTTGGAATATGAGCTGAGTTGACTTGGGAAGTGTGGAGATACAGAATCTAAGGCCGGTAATGAACACTAGGAAACAGGATAATTCCTCCCATAAAACAAACAAAACATTGTGTGTCTACAACATGCCTGGCACTGTACTGGTGCTTTGTATATCTTGCCTTATTTAGTCATCCACCTTTTACAGAAAGGTTAAATGACTTGTTCAAGGTCACATACTTATAAATAGAGGAACCCAGATTTCTATCCAGTCCTATTTATCTCTGAAAATCATGTTTTAAAAGAATACCCAGTGTCTCAAGCCCAGAAAAAAACACTATATTAATAATAGAATTGCTACAAAAACATTTGCTCAATGTTCTGGACACTGTGGCACTGAAGCCAATGCAATGACCTGATTCCATGCAAAGGGAAGTTTTGCCCTGGAATACTTTGAAAGATGCCATTCTTTGCTGACTAGGAGCACATGTCTGTTCGTTTGTAAGCCATGAACTTGATAGTGCCATGGTTCTAGCAGTTTCTCTGTGCTCAGCCTGGCTTCTACAGCCTCACTTTGGAGCTCGGGAAGTTGGCAGGGACCCTATCGTCCAGTCCCACACAGTCAGTACCCAAGTAAGGCAAAGGCAGCTTTTGGGTCAAAATTCCTCTGCTAAGGGACAGATTCTCAGAAAGGAAAAGCCCAGAGCTAAGGAATAACTTCTAGAACAATCACTCTGATCACCAAGGGAAAGTAGTAGTCAGGCCCCCAGTGGATGGCAGTGGGAAAGGGACAGTTCTCTATACCAGCTTGTTGCTCCTTGGCTGAATGACTATCAGTTTGCCTTGCAGGAAACAAAAGAACTTTTCCTTCTTGCCTGGATAAAGAAAAGAAGGAATGACTATTATAATGGGTGATTATACTCTTAAAAACTTCACAAATTGGAAAGGGTATATCTTCAACTTCTATTTTCTATCACCAGCTTGGAGTTGCTTAGGAATGTTAAAGTCACACTGTGAGCTCATTTCCCATGTGTGTCTATGAAAATTCAATGATAATAGATGAAAATGAACATTTTAAAAATAAGTATGTTCTGGTTAAGAGGAAGGTAAAAGCCTTATAGCTATTTGTGATTGTTAAAGATATTTTGTATTTGATTTGCATCAAAATAGACATGATCTTGGGGCAAAAGGAATTTTTTAATGATACTATTTAATAAATGATCACAGAGAGTGTGATTATCAGACTAAAATTGTCCTTATTTGAAAATACTTGTGTGCACCCATGGCTGGCGTGGCTGCTGGAATGCTCCTATGGTTTAGATATACATGCTGATACAAACAACAAAAGTGTAGTAGGGGAAGTAGTACCTCAGAAGGCCTCAGAGCAAGCCAAGTGGGTTTCATTTAACATAACCCATTTCCAAGAGGCTGCTGCTGGCAGAGGTGTTTTGGCAATAGGCTTCATCTTCACCACATCTCTCATGTCGGGCTAACTCTGAGTTTAGCGAAATCTGTGATTTGATGGGACACCTCCATCTGTTCGTGCAGGTGGAGTAAAGCTGATCATTTCTAAAACCAAGTCAAAGAGCTGTTGTCAAGCAGAGAAATTGTCTTTGAAGGGACTATTCCCCAGGGCTTACCTTCAGATGAGAGGTAAATGCTATCAGAAAACTCTGAGATCCTTGATCTGATTTCCCCTGTAGATCCATCAGCCAGGAAGGTAACTGGGCAGAAGAAGGGGGAAATGAAGTTAGTGTGTAAGACCAGGAACAGAATTTGTCCCACAGCGCCAGACCCTCTCACTCATTTCTTCTTTTCTCTTGAATGGCATGAAAGCATTTCCAGTTTTATATTTCTTATCACTAACATGGGAAGACATTTTAATTGAGTATCAAATCTAGATGGTAACAGTTGTCCATTTGGAAGTTGTTTTTGATATTTCCATCATTCCATTTATGTACTATCAAGAGAATTCAATTGCCTCAGGTGAATTTGAAATTTAAGAAGAAAAAACACACAATATACTATAGTTTGAACACAAGTGTTTTCTTTAGGAAAAAGTCTCTAGAGGGAAATATCTATTTGGCCATGTCAGGCACCGATGAAATGACATTTACTTACAGCACCTGCTAGTAAAAGGGTCATTTACTAGCAGGTGCTGTAAGGATGATGGCTGTGATTAAATTAGTGCCCCCACCTTCTAAGCTTCAGTCCAAGTTTCTTCCCCTCTCAGTGCTGCTTGTCTAGAAATCCTAATCCCATCATCCCAAGGAGAGACACACTTTATTTGTTTCTCTGTAGAAATAGATTCTTTTTTGAGTCTTTGCATTTCTTAGCACCTTAATGCTTAAATAGCAGAAGGTTCTACACGGGTGACCTGGTGTTTGAATGGAGAGCATTTTTAATTCCTGCAACAGCAGTGACAAATGCAGAAAAGGTTGGCAGTGAGAGAAAAGGGGAGAAAGAGTGGACCTATTAGGTAGTCAAGAGCTGGGGAAAGGGTGAGCCAGGTGAAAAGAACAGTCTCTTTAGGCAAGGGTGGGGGCCCTCCCTTAGTAGCGCTTTGCTTGGGGAGGCTCTGTGTGTGTGTGTGTAAGGGGGGTGAGGGGTGTGGAGCAGCTCTCCCTGTCCATGTGCCCCTACTGGTCTTCCCCTAGGGATCTAACATTTGCTTGCATGTATACAAAGTCTTAGATTGAGAGCACTCTATCCAACCTGATGGTGGGCTCTGGGAAGGAGGAACCATCACTGGCTAGGGCCAGTGATAAAAAAAAAAAAAAAAAAAAAAAAGTCATTCTTTAATCAGAAATGGGTTTGTTGTGGTTCTCCATAAATGTATACTGAAGGCATTTAGTAGTTGTAGATGTTAGGATTAACCTATAACTCTCAACTCTAGCTCTCCCTGGCCAACTCTCACAGAGCAGATCCCTTGAAAATACAGAATACAAACTGTGTGCCATGATGTTCTGTGGGAAGTCTGCCTTTCTTTGTGTGGCTCTAATTCTAGTATCTCCGTGGTTGTGGGGTTTGAGAGATGCCATCTATTTTTCTGTGTGTACTCACACACACATGTCATTTGTGTTTCCTTTACAAAGGCCATGCCTTTGGATTACTGAGTCTCTTCATTAAAGTTTTGTCTCTTTCAAGGCAAAGTTTACCTTTGGAAAATCATGTTTTCGTGTTATAAAAATTCTTTTCTTTGGTTATTTCCTGCATGAAAAGAAAACACGTCGCAGTTTCTATGTGTGCAAATTGCATTTTTAACCTCCCTGGAATCTCTAGTTTGCAACTGCCAGCATTCTCAGCAACACTTTCTATGAGACTTGCTGTCAAAGGCCACACCTCTGTGCTTAGAGCTTCACCACTTTGTCACTTCCCCCACCATAAGGTCCTCCTGCTTCATTCATGAGACTAGCATAGCTAAGGATTATTTTGGTTTGCAATACTCTGAGGCAGAATTATTTCTCTTCAGAAAAAGCCAGAAGAAAAACTAGTACTAGTACCTTCTGGAACCATATAGATATGTGTGCAAACGTTAGTAACCTGTTGCTTTGAACAAAGCATTTAAATTACTCTTGAAAATACAATGCCTGGCACATGATAGTTGCCCAATAGATGTCTGAATGTTCATGAACAACTGAGTGAGAGAAAAAATAAAGCTGAATTCTCCCAGGGGCAAGCCTGTTTTCAGTGTATAGTAAAAAAAGCAGTTATTCTATCACTTCCATTACTGCTTATCATCTGTATCACTGGCTTGAACACTTTGATTAAAATTGCCTCTTGGGCTAAATAATCAATTTAGTCAGAAATCAAACAAATCAAAGTTTTAACCGAAGTGACTATTTTTGTATAATGAATCCAGATGACTCCTCCAAAATAGCCAAATGTTTGAATATAGAAAAGTTATATCTTGTTGAGTTTTGTTTTTATTTTCTTTGTTTTTGTATGGTTTAAAATGCTGGAGAAAAAATAAATTAGCCAATTGGGCGAATATATTAGAAAGAGGCATAGTGTCTTAGAAATGGTAGAATCCCAAGCTATGTGTGTCTTTGCAGGATATTGAGGCTGAGAGTTTCATCCTGTTCACGCAGGAGTAGCCATCTGGGTCCTGCCACATCCTCTTTTTCACTGGCTAATCATCCCGCAACCACACATTTCTGTATTTCTCGGGGCTTCCCTGAGTTTGTTGGGATCAGCAAAATGGCCGCCCCAGTAGTCTCAAGCGCATATCTAGATAGGAGAAGCCTAGCTCTGTGCCTGGAGAGATGCAGGCTCTTTTGCATTGAACCATTGTGGCCTGTAGGTGGCAGTACGGGGTTCAGTAGGTTCCACAGATGACCAATGAATCCTGAATGTTCTGGGCTCTTTCCTGGGAATGGGTGCCAGGAGTTAGGCAACACAAGATGTGTCACAAGTAGTACCTGACTATTCACCTCTTTTTCTTTCCTAGGGAATGCAGTCGGATTTTTGGGGAAGATGGTCTGACGTTGAAGCTCTTTCTTAAAAGGACTGCTCCCTTTTCTATTCTATGGACTTTGACAAACTACCTGTACTTATTGGCTTTAAAGAAGCTGACAGCCACGGATGTCTCCGCTCTGTTCTGTTGTAACAAAGCCTTTGTCTTTTTGCTGTCGTGGATCGTGCTGAAAGACAGGTTCATGGGAGTGAGGGTAATGGCACATTTGATTCAATGCGCGAGGCCGCCCTTGGTCATAAATCCTGGCATCGGGAGGGCTGCTTTGCTTCATGGACTTTCTGTAAAACTTTCCTATTGGTCCTGAGTACAAAATGGTATTTGAAGATGGATTAGGATGCATAGGCAGTTGCAACATCATGAAAGGATAAAGAGGTTTCCATTGGGCAGTCAGCTGATGTCAACAGGAGGCACTAAAACATGGAAAATAAGCTTTTTATTTATTATTTTAAGAATTAATGGTGGGATCAACTCCTTCTGTTCTCAGGAAAGAAGGTCTGAGCAAATTAGCCACAGTGAAGATTAGGATTTGTTTTTTTTTCAATCCGCATATGTTGGGATAACGCCCTCATGTTTCTCTCCCCCAGATATAGGGTTAATTAATATTAGTATAAGTAGGCAAGATAAACAAACAGTAGTTAAAGTCCCCTTACTTGGGAAAAAATGGTCTTTGCAGACATAATTAAAGATCTTGCAAAGAGGACATTATCCTGGGTCATCTGAGTGGCCCCTAAATCCAACAATAACCCTTATAAGAGATGCATACGGAAGAGACACGCAGAAGAGGAAGAGACAATGTGACCACAGAGACAGATTTTGGAGTGATGTGGCCACGAGCCCAGGAAAACCGGGGCAGCCACCAGAACCTGAAAGAAACAAGGAATGTATTCTCTCCTAGAGGAGCCCCTGGGAGCCTAGCTCTGCTGGATTTAAACTTCTCACCTCCGGAACTGGGATAGAATATATTTCTGTTGGTTTTAGTCACCAAATTTGTGGCAATTTGTTACAGTAGCCTCAGGAAAATAAATAGCATCTGTAAGTAATAAGACCTGATAGAAAAAATGTTGAGGAGTCCATAAGCAATTGTTATAAATATATACATAAAGTAAGACATCAGAGATGGCAAAATGGTAAGCATTAGTGTCAGGCATACTGGTAGAAGACAGATACTTTTCTTGTTAAATGACAGGCATTGGGAAGGGTATAAACCATGTTTCAGAAGATTGTCAAGGTGTAATTTTAATGATGCCCTGAATCAGGCCAGGGAATAGGAGAACCACCAGAACGCATTCAGCATTTTGCCTTTTGACAGTCTCAGCAATTCTTTTTCTCCTGAGACATATTGAGAACATGCATAATTAGGTCATTTGAGAAATTAAAGGAGGGCAAACAAAATACTGACAGCATAAACACAGCTTTTAGTGGCCCTGTCCACAAATAATCTAAGCCCAGTCTGTAAGTGCCACCTCACTTGCACTTCTCTTTTTCTAAGTAGAAGTTAAAGGGTCATCAGATTAAAATTAATATTTCTGACTGGTTCTTGAGGCTTCGGTAGTTTAGAAACAAGTCATTTTTTGGATTATAATTCCATTTGCTTAACCTCAAGAATGATTCCACTTAAGATTAAATATATGGCCTATTTTTTATGTCAAATAACACCGTGAACAGAATGAAGGATGCCTTACGTTACAGTATCAGTAAAGATGGTTTTATCTGGAGCAACGGTTGGCCAGAATTATCAATGCTCACAGAAAAACTAATTTTGTAATATGAACAATTTACTAGTTTGTTTCTTTAGACTATTGATTGACTTATAGATAAAAAAAAAAAAGTAATCTGTTATACATTTAGTTTTCTGTTATGAAATCATTTCAACCAATTTTCTGGTAAACTCCGGTGTGTTAGGAAACTCATGAATAGTTGCTTACAGCTGATATGTGATCACCCCATGGGAATTAGTCTAGTTCTTTAAAAGATCTTTTTTTTTTTTTTTAATTGCAAAGATGTTGATGAAAATCCAGTTCTTGGAGCTTTGTTGAAAATGGGTGTTTTCCCATCTCTGGGATCTTGCCTTGGGTAGCTAGCATTCTTCAATCCATGAGAGGCAGAGAAACCACCTTAATAAAAAAAAGGGCTTTCCCCCTTCCCCCCAAAAACGGGTTTTCCTTAAAGAAAATCAGCCACTGAGTTGGTTTTTCTTCTCTGTCTCTGATGTCTATTTCCCTCCAATTAAAAGTACATGTCACACTAGAAAGTTAAAATATTTTCTTTCAGATCTTGCCCTTCCCTTATTTTTCATATTATTGATTTTTTTTCTTTTATTTTTTAAAATTTCTTTGAACATATGAAGAAAACTGATGGGTGGTAAATGGTTCAGTAGACCCCAGGGTTTTGGTTTTTTTTGTTTTGCTTTTTAGCAGATTTAGGAGATGAATTCATATCACTTTGAATTGTGATGTGAATTCATCTTGGCACCCACATATTTTCTAGCTGTAATTGGGTTGCTATACGGTTAACTTCCCAAACTGTGACTCTTTTGGAGACTTTCCTACATACACCAAGCACCAACTGGAGTATGCCAGTTAGAGTGAATCTCTCATTGCTTAAACTGCACTTCTCTGAATTCAAATTGGGCTCCAGAGCGCTCTAAATCAGGACACTGAAGCTGAGCTGCTGCTGATTTGTGCCAATATCATGCATTTAGATAAGATTCAAGAAAACCTTTTGTTTCCATCTTGTCTTTGGTTGACATTTATGCAGTCGCTGTTCCTTCAGGTTAGTGCAGAATACTCTATCCAGAGCCTTTGATGGTTCCTCAAGGAGGCAGTTGAGGATGGACAATGAGACTAATCCTTTTCAACCCCCTCTTGGGGGAAGAATGATTTATGAATATAGGAAGTGTGGAGGCTCTGATTTATGTCCAGAAGGAATCCATAACCCCTTCATCAAGGTGTAGTCAATAGATCCACTCTATACACCAATCCCACTCCCCCACTCCCCCTCCATCACACACACACACACACACACACACACACACACACACACACACTATTTAGTCTCTCCATCTGGCATTTCTTTTCCTGATTTCCATCTTGGTCTCATTGAGATTATTTTTAGATGGGTTTCATTCATATAAAAATAGATGTGCATGCGTGGCAGGGAGTAGGGAGTGGGAATCTTGGTTGGAGGCTCTGCACCCCTTGGGTCTGACCCATTCTAGGGATCCACCCTCCACCTGTCATACACACTGGACTTCCCACCTCTTTCACTTCTCTCACTTCACTTCAAATCCTGACCAATTGCATTGGAACTGAATAAAACAGATGGTTCTTTTTGTGGAATCTAAATGTAACATGTAAATATGTTTTATGATTTCGTATAGACATGGTTTCTTGAAAATACTCTATCTAAATATTCAGAGAAAATAGCATGATCATTGGAGCAGGTCTCACTGGCCAAGCCATGAATGTGCATCTCACCTTCAGCTGCTGACCTTTAGTCTTGAACTTGAGCACAGCCCTGCTGGCAGGGCAGCTCTGAGGCCTTTCACTTTAGAGGCTGCTGTGGGCTTGGGCCTCCCCATGCTCCACCCGGCTTCAGGAACAGCTGACCACAAGGCAAATTAAGGAAAGATGATGGGGTTACAAATAGAAATAGAAGCAATTAAAGGTTCATCTCAGTACCCTGAACCCTAGAAGGGCTGACATTGTTATGTAAATAATAATTCCAGAAACCATTTGTCAAGGGGAAACACAATGAATAGTAATGAGGCTGGAAATCCTCATGAAGATTCAGAAAAAGGGTCCACCCTTGTCATTTTTGAGGGCCTGAGCCAAAAGTGCAGAGGGAAGGGGGAGGAGACCATACAGAAAACAAAAAAAGCCAGATGCTTCTTTAGCCTTTGTCTGTACAAATGAATTCTTTAAGAGGTGGAAGAAGCTAGCTTTCATGAAGGGTCATGGGTGGTCTACAGCACAGTAAAATCACCAAATGTGAACCTTCAGGCCTTCTTGGGGTTCAGGAACAGGCTCCAACAAACTCATGGTCCCTCCAATTGGCCCTGCAAGTTGATGCGGAGGCTCTCAGAGGGGTTTGAACCTGCAAAGGAAGGTAACCATCTTCAGAGGTGACGGTGCTCTCATGGCCTGCTGGGATAGTGGACTCAGCATGATGTAAGAGGGCAAAGAAAGTTAAGAATGAGGCATTGTCAGTTTTTTGGTCATTGGTTAGTAACCTTCTCACGCCAGACAGATTCAGGTGATGGTAGTGGTGGGATTTCTGCCTTAGTTAGACCCCTCTGGTTGGTGATGGGCTGGAATTGGAATAGGCTGTGAGAACCAAGTGTCTGTGGAGCCAAGGTGCGAGTTCAGCACAGGAGTCCTTCATGTGCACACACAAGTGCTCGGTTTCACCATGTGGCTGTGCACATATGAGCACTGTTGACACAGTATTTAAGGCACCGGTTTCCTGCAGGCATGTTTCTAGTGTCCTGAGCCCAATAAGAGTCGTCTGTGTTTTTCTGTTGAGAACAAACTATTAATCCTTCCTTAATGACTGATTAATTCTGAAAATTCATGTGACTCATATCGGTGCTTGTGTTATTTGTTCTCTGGAAGTTTGAAGAGTTGAACCCATGGAGCCAAGCAGTGCCACTCTGGGACCATCTGAACAATGCTCCAAAAGGGACTTCCACCTAATACACTCCTGCAGTTCCTAGATTAGATGGGATCCCTTCCCTTAGTTCCAACTGTGTAGATAGGAAAATTTTTAAAACGTGGCCATAGAGAACTTATTCTATCTGATAGCTGTGGAATTTAAATTAAAATGTGGAAAATAAGTTAACTTATCTTTCTCCCCAGGAAACCTATATAGCCTATAAATGATTAATCTATAAATGGCTGTTCATAGCAGAGAGAATTTTTCTAACATCTCAAATATTCAGATTTTCATGTTTTTAGAACTTAACTAACAGTGTTGTCTGACCTCCTGAAGTGAAAAATGCTTCTCACCATGAAGGCAATTGGAAGAGACACTGCTGTAATTGATATGTCAATTTAAGTAGTCCAGCTTAATATCTTCACAAGCACTTGAATATAAAATGTAATGGAGGTTTTCAAGAAGCTCACCTTGGTTCTAACATTGAATTTCTCTAAAGATTATGTAATCTATGTCCACATCTAATTCCTACCTTGAGGAAAATTTATAATAGTAATATTATGCCTATAAATTTTTACTAATGGATGACTCAGTAAAAGAACAGTGCCCAACTAGGCCCAGATCCTGGGGATAACAGTATTGTTTTCATCCCTTTCTAGACAGTGATTTTATTTTGTGCTATTTGTTTGTTTGGGCTGGTTGTTTTCATAATTCCCTAAACCCAGAATTATAGTAGTATATGATAGACTTCTTTTAGTAATTTTAAATATGAAACAACATATCATGTTAAAGTTCATTAAGATTAGCACTGTGTTCTTTTAACCCCATTTTGTTTATTTGACCAGGAAATACAACTAATGCTAGACCAAAAATCAAACCAAAAAACCCTACAAATATCTATTCAAATTTATTATCCTACAAGTTCAGTCTTACGGCGGAGATCTATGTGTGCACCTAAACACTTTAACTCATTAAAACACAAAACAAATCAGAAAACGCCAGCGTCTAAAGAGCTTTTTCAGTCTCTGAAATCAGACTGCCCAAAGAAATGTCTCAAATCCCTGGCTGAACTGTAAATCCGCAAAATGAAGAAAATGATAGCCCTCACTGAATCTCCAGGTCTAGATACCCCCCTTCTCATGTTTATTTATGAGTCTATGGCTCCATGATTAGAAAATTTCCCTGACACCTCCTGGTGTGTGTATTAAATTCTATTCCCTATAGTTGGAGGCATGGTCTAACTAGAACACATGCCTGGAAGCTTCAGAGAATATGATATTCACTCAGCAAGAGAAACACCTCCCATCAAGCAGCCTCCCGGATAACACTTTATGAAGGCAGTTTTTCATTGCTGACACAGTGGCGTCTGTTCTCAAGTTCTCCTGCTGTTTTCCATAAAGGGCCCTTTAGTATGGATATGGCTCTGAAACCCACTGTGCACTTGCTCTTGGTGGTCATTAACAAAAGAATTCAGCAGCATCTAAATTATATGTGTCATCATGAACATACATTGCGCTGGCCTTGAGCAAGCCTGCAGATATGTGTTAAAGATCTACATTTATTGTAATAAAGAATTCACTAATAATGTTCAAAGGGGCAAAAAACCAAACATTAATCACATGTGAAAAAGCTATCCACAGAGAAATTGATTTACTTGTGAATACTCAAAACTGAAGCTTGACAAAATTAATTGTCACATGTGCTTAAATTTCTGACAAGGTTACATCTTGGTTTTAAAGTTGGTGAGACAACCTTTGAAATGCCTGAGTTGCTCAAGTTCAAGATAATAAAAGAAACAAGTGCAAACCAGCATTTCACAAAGGGGTGGACTCTTGTTTTATTTTTTTTTAAATATATTTTATTGATTTTTTACAGAGAGGAAGGGAAAGGGATAGAGAGCTAGAAACATCAATGAGAGAGAAACATTGAGCAGCTGCCTCCTGCACACCCCTTACCGGAGATGTGCCCGCAACCAAGGTACATGCCCTTGACCGGAATTGAACCTGGGACCTTTCAGTCCACAGGCCAACGCTCTATCCACAGAGCCAAACCAGTTTCAGAGGACTCCTGTTTTTAAATATACCGAGCATCATATCAATTTATAGTAAAGCATTATGATTGCAAACATATTTTGAATATTTCACTTTATGCAATTAACGCTCTAGAATAATTAACTAAAAGTATCATTCTGTGGTTTAATTTACATGAAAACAAGAGGAAGAACTGGCCTCCATTTGATATTCCAAGTGACAGTGCAAGCTTGCTCCTTATAAACTATTATGAAATTACTCACTTCTGTTTTCCCCTTGCTCTATATGTTGCCTCTTAGCTGCATCAATATATCTCCCTAATCAAATCCTCATTATGTGGAGGTAGTCAGAAGCATGCATTGATCCAAGGGGCTGATTAAAATGTACGCTGAAATATTTGAAGAAAAGGAAAACAGTATACATGAAAAGGCAGAGAACCGATTTCCTATTGACATTATTTCACCAATATGAATATAAATCTCTAGGAAGTTGAACTAAAAAATTACATTAAGATTATTAGTCCTTGATTTGAATGTGAGCAGCTTTTATATTCTCTGCCTGGGTGTCTCAAGAGTATACCGATTTCTTGTTAATACTGACCCTTCTACAATTGAACACAGATGTACACAGGTAATTGGGTTTCAGAAAGCAATTTAGCAGCTTTCATGAAGTCTTCAATTGCTTGCTCAATTGCTTGCTCAGGGATATAGAGTTACCAGTTGTTGGTTTTTAATTTATTTGCATCGTATTCGACAGATAGTTGCCACAATAATGGCAATCACGGGCATTGTCATGATGGCGTATGCAGATAATTTCCATGCTGACTCGATCATAGGAGTGGCGTTTGCAGTGGGCTCAGCCTCCACATCTGCATTGTATAAGGTACGTTGTGCACTGTCTTATGTAGTCGATTGTGATTTGTAGCTTAGACTTAATAAAGTAAGGAAGGACAAAGAAAATCTTGACTAGAAAAAAATAAAGATGGTTTCATGATAAAAACCCCTTACTGCGTCCTTGCTAATGCTGGACACTTGCCAGAAAATTTCACCTGTATTAATGCACCCTATGAGACACAGGTGCTTCTCCCCGATTTCAAAGACAGAACTAGGTTGGAGGAAGCATTTAGCAACTTCCATGAAGTACTCAATTGCTTGCTGCGGAATATGGAGTCATCAAAAATGTTATTTCTTTGCATTTGGTGTGTTAATCTTGTTTGCATGACAGATGAGAAAACGAAGGCTTTGAAACATTAAGTAACTTGCCCAAGGTCATACAACCAGGAAACGATAGAGCCAAGGTTAAAACTTGGACTGCCAACTCCAAAGCCCTTGCTCCATGGCTTCACCCCTCCCAAATCATCAACTAGTTGCGGAGGGGTTGAGAAAGACCTCTCTTCTCTTTGTGTTTCTTTAATTGGGTGGCCGTTATTTTAACTCCAATTGAAGTGTTAAAAATAATTAACTGTCATTTGAGAGGTCACCTTTTGCTACATATCAACTCTGTGGCACAGAAGCTCATGCTATTAGTAAAATGAAAAGTCTCTTTTCCTCTCTGAAGGATACTCTGGGTCTACGCTAAGTCCTCACCACTCTTTCTTCCCTGGAGCTGCCTGTCATTAATGAAAATTCTATTCAGAGCCATTGCCCTTCACTTCAGAAGTGAGGACTGAGAGAGCAGACCTCAAAGGTTATTCCCCGAAGCTCCACATTTCAGAGCCAACTTTCTGGATGTAGCTAAAGGACTATTCCACTTTCATCTCTCTCGGTGCTTCAGTGAGAAAATTCTCTCTGAAAGGCAGAAAATGCCCTTTGCAACTCTCCTGGATGCCTGTTCTGATTATTCACCAGCCCTGCAGCTCAGAGGACACTGAGTCTATTTCCATACTGACATTTCTTGGCCCATTGATTCTGTGTGACAAACTTGACAAGTGTTCACTCAATCGCCATTAGTGTCTAACCTGCCCCCAACTGAGACTCCACTGAGGTGTCTGATGTGACCAAAGACTAGCAAGTGATCAAGGTCTCTTGACTGCATCTCTCAAAAGGAAAAAAAAAAAAAAAAAAAAAAAAAAAAAAAAAAAAAAGGAAGAAAAGAAAAGAAAAAAGTTCGATTAAAATGAAAAGCAATATCTGGCATTCTCCTGACCATGTTCCAGTTAGTTTCATTAGGGAAGTGATAATGTTGGCTGACATGCACAAAATTATATGTGCACCTTAGAAAAGATCGGCTCCATTCTCCACTGTTTGAGGGTTAATAAAGGAAGCAGAGGGGTTAAAAAGCCAAGAAATGCGGGCTAGAGTCCGGCTCCCCCTCCCCTCCTCCCGCCTGCGCCCTCCCCCCGACTTTCTCCTCCACCAGCCAGATTTGTGACTTTAGGTTGACTATTCATGCCTCCTGGCCATCTTTCTCTGTACACAGATTTAATTTATATTTTATTGATTTTTTTACAGAGAGGAAAAGAGAGGGATAGAGAGTTAGAAATATTGATGAGAGAGAATCATTGATCAGCTGCCTCTTGCACACTCCCTACTGGGGATGTGCCCGCAACCAAGGTACATGCCCTTGACCGGACTCGAACCCAGGACCTTTCAGTCCGCAGGCTGATGCTCTATCCACTGAGCCAAACCGGTCTTGGCTGTACACAGATTTAGAGCCCAGAAAAAAAGAAAGAAAAAGAATTGTTAATCTGGAGAATAAACAGTGTTTGTGAAAATATTTTAAGCTCTGAGAGAAAAGTACTTGTAAATCCAAGGCATCATTATTATTTCTCTCAGCACATAATGACAGGCTTTCTCTCTCCAATATAGTTTTCAAGTATCTGTCAAAATAAGAGCAAAATGAATCCCAGGCTGGAAGGGAAGAATTGACAGCATCTCAATCCGAGAAGATTTCTCAGGGTTTCTCTGCTTTTGTTTATTATTCGTCCTATACACATCACTGATCGTGTGCATAACACAGTGTGCAGTATCCAATCAGTTTCCAACCCCACAAGGAATTTGTTTGATGGCTTTTGCTGCTTCCTCTGAAGATTATAGAGAATTTTCATTCCTCATCTCAATAACACCTTAGATGTCATTGTTGAGATAAGGAATTAAGGAGATGGCAGGTAAGAGGATATGGAGGATAAACACTGGGCCAGGTAGCTCCCTGTGCAGATGAGCAGACCTTGCCTTTCTGATGCAGCCAGATCTCCGACAGTGTGGCTTAAGAGTGTCCTTCCCATTCCAGGTTATGTTTAAGATGTTTCTTGGAAGTGCCAACTTTGGCGAAGCGGCACACTTTGTCTCCACGTTGGGTTTCTTCAATTTAATCTTCATCTCCTTCACCCCCGTCATCCTGTATTTCACCAAGGTGGAGCACTGGTCCTCCTTCGCAGCTCTGCCCTGGGGCTGTCTCTGTGGGATGGCAGGGATGTGGCTGGGTAAGTGACCCCAGGCTTTGCCTTCCATTCCCTAAGTCACTCGACCTCTCCTTGGATAGTTAAGTTATCATATTAGATTATTCCCTTGAGTGCCTCTGTCCTCTCTTTCCCAAATGTAACTAGGGTTGGTTCTTGTTATTGAATGTTGGGGGAGGACCACAGTGTCCAGCTGCACAGGTGGTACCCAGCCCGAGGTTCTATGTGGGTTATTGCTTGATTAGATCTGAGCTCTCCAACTGGTGTGCTTCCCATGGGTTATGCTGTGAGTCCGAGGCCCAGCCACTCTGATCACCACAGGTCTTCAAGCAGCCTCATCATGCTTCACAGTGCACTGTGTGATGTTACTGGGTTCCAAGTGTGCCACGGTGTGTCCGGCAAAGGGAAAGGGGGACATTCTCATTCAAGGAACTCAAAGTGGTTCAAAATGTCTGGAGCACCCACTGCAGGCGGAATGGGGAGAAAGAAAGGTAGGAGGGAAGGAAGAAAGGAGGGAGGGAAAGAAGGAAGGAAAGAAGGAAGGAAGAAAGGAAGGAAGGAAGGAAGGAAGGAGGGAGGGAGGGAGGGAGGGAGGGAGGGAGGGAGGGAGGGAGGGAGGGAGGAGGAAGGAAGGAAGGAAGGAAGGAAGGAAGGAAGGAAGGAAGGAAGGAGAGAGGGAGGGAGGGAGGGAGGGAGGGAGGAGGAAGGAAGGAAGGAAGGAAGGAAGGAAGGAAGGAAGGAAGGAAGGAAGGAAGGAAGGAAGGAAGGAAAGAAGGAAGGAGGGAGGGAGGGAAAGAAGGAGGGAGGGAAAGAAAGGAAGGAATCAGGTAGGAAAGGAAGGAAGGAAGGAAGGAAGGAAGGAAGGAAGGAAGGAAGGAAGGAAGGAAGGAAGGAAAGAAAGAAGGAAGGAAGGAAGGAAGGAGGAAGGGAGGGAAGGAAGGAGGGAAGGAAGGAAGGAAGGAGAGAAAGAAGGAAGGAAAAAGAAGACATTTAGGAGGGAAGTGGGCTATGGAGGACCTGGGAAGCCTCATGGAACAGGTTGAATTTAAAATCCATTTACTAACCTCTCAGCAGGGAGATGACAGCCTCACACCTGCAGCTGACACAGCCCACTCTAGCTGAGTATAGAGCACATGTGTCAAACACACGGCCAGCGGGCCAAATCCGTCCCACCAGGCCTTGCAATGTGGCCCGCACCGCGCTGTCATCACTGCACTCCGCTGCGTTTCCATCACAATGACAGTTTATGACTGTTCAGTAAACCATTCGGCCCGCGATTTAGGCTGGATTTTAGATTTTGGCCCCTTCTCTGATTGAGTTCGACACCCCTAGTATAGAGAATGAATTTGAGCTAGCAAACCCTCACAAAGCAGGGCAAGAAGACAGAACTGGGCTTGGTGGCTCAGCCAAGTAGGCTGTCCCTGAGTCAATGATAAAAAAAAACAAACACAAAACACCTAGACTCTTTTTAGTAATATTCTTTCTCCCAATTCCCTGTGTGAGTGTGGGAATTGGAAACAACTAGGGGCTCCCACTTTCAGGCTGTGCTCCTGCTATAGGTTGATATGAGAGGAACCTGAAAAATAGCAAGCCTGCTCTTCTCTGGCCAAGCAATCGAACACATCCACCCCCACCCCCACGACTCAGGCCCTTTACTCAGAATCGAATTGTTTTCATTCTGCTCCTCTCCTCAGACCACCTAAGGCAGCCCCTTCTGCCCACTCCACATTTGCCCACAAGACTTGGCCTGCAGGACATCTACCAACCCTCACTTGACATCCCCTCATCCCCTGAAGTATAATCTGAAGCAGCACTGCAGTTCTTAGAAGAAGAAGAAAATGCCCTTATTTGCTTCTCCCATAGGCACTGAGTCTTCTTTTTCTACTCTGGCCCAGGCCCCTAAGGGAAGATCTTAAGCAAGACAGGAAATGCAACAAGAGAATAATCAGATACCAATCGTTGGTCCTTGGAATTCTACTTTTGAAGGCCAAAAATATGCGGTGATGACCTGTCATAACCCCTGCTGATTTAAGTAGAAATCAATAGGAGTGTTTCCTTAAGATGAAACATCCTAATGAAAAGTACCTAGATGATTTCCTGGCCAAAACCAATCTAACTGGGAACAATCGAAATTTCACTGACTTGTGGCCCCATCTGTGTGCACATGATCTCCAGCTTGCTGCAAAGTAGCCTTCCTCCAGCGTATACCCCTGGACAGGCTCCTGAGCAAGAGTACCACCTGTGCGGCTGGACACTGTGGTCCTCCCCCACTCAGCAAGGTCTTCACACTCCACTGGGTGCAGTGTGACAGCACAGTGGATTGATCATTTCACCTCTTTGCATTTGCTCCATACACCGTTGGTCAGCCAATTGGCAAGAGGTCAGGCAACCAGAGTGACAGAGGAGGAGAAAAGAATAAGACTATTTCTGGTGAGATACCCATGTATCTACCTCCAAAATCAGAGGATTAATTGACCAAAGGTGCAGACAGCGTAAAAGGCATGTTTAACATTGGCATTGATTCTTTTATGTTAAGAAGGAAAGCACCCAGCATATCAACTCTCCTTTATCCTTCAATATTCTCAATAGCCTCCTCTCTTTTACAGTCTTCAACATCCTGGTGAATGTTGGCGTGGTGCTGACATACCCGATCCTAATCTCCATTGGGACACTGCTCAGCGTTCCTGGAAATGCAGGTACTGGTACGATTTGGCATGAGCACAGTAAGTCTTCCTGCTTGTGTTTGTTTTACACCCTGCGTTGTTTCTTGGACCAATTGTGAATTATGTCCCTTGCCTGGGAAGATGTTTTTAAATATCACGAAGGTGGCAGACAATAGAATAGCTAGGCAACAGATTTAAAATTTGCAGCTACAAACACTGTCTTTACTTGGTTGTGCTTTTAGAGTTAAATTCCAAATGCATCGTTTGAGTTGCAGGTAATCTCCCTGACAACCTAATTTTGTGGTATTTTTAGAGGAAATTCTATGAAAACAAAAGGCATCCCAGCATAGGACTCTCAAGTAAATGCCACTAATGAAAGTGTAGGAAATGCACAGGGTGTTAGCTCCAATCAGACTACCCATGGGGAGCTGGGGAAGCTTCCCCCGGGGGCACAGCAGATGGCTCTCTTGCATAGATATAGGAAAAAGCAATTTGATTCTCTTCAGGGAAAAGAGAAGCTATTTTTCCAGGATAATATTTCTAATGAAATCTTTCAGTGGAACAAGTATTGGAAGTAGGTTATCTGGATGACTCTACAGTCCTTCTAACTTTAAAATTCTAGGATTCCAAGCCTTGGGTGGCCATTTATTTATTTATTTATTTATTGTCCCTTAGGACAACAACAAAAAAAAATGTTTTTTGAGCACTTACTATGTGATCAGGATTATAGAAGAAACAGGAAAATGATAATATTGTTCCCTTAAGAAGCGTATGCCTGCATTTGGAAAATAATAACACCATGCATAAAATAACTTAGAACTCTACAAAGTAATTTATGATTGAATGTCAAATTATGTAATAGACTCCAAGGACTATAAGATAGTCAGAGGAAAGGAATACTAAGTAGGAGAGGAGCTGTCAAAAAAGTTTATTCATTCATCCATGTGTTCATTTATTCAATAAATGATTTCAGAGCATGTAGTATAGCCAGCAACTCTGATAACACTGGTCATACATTCTGAATAAGGCATAGTCCCTGATTTCAGACTATGCATTAACAGAAGGAGACAAGAGTTATTGAGTAAATACAATGTAGAGAGTATTGCTTTGACAGAGGTATGTATTGAATTCTCTGATGGGAGGGGCAACCAAGAAGACTTCCTGCAAAAAAAACCTAAACCGGGAGATCTATTGGGGGGGGGGGGGGGGCGGGCACACGGACATTAGCTGGATGAAGTGGATATGAGGAGGGAAGGGCATTCCATGGAAAAAGAATAGCATTTGCATGACCAACAATTCCACTATGGTACATACCCCCCAAATTGAAAACTGGGACTCAAAAATATCATTGTATACAAATGTAAATAGCAGCATTATTCACAATGGTCCAATATGGAAACACCCAAATGTCCATCAACAAGTGAATGGATAAACAAATCATGATACATACAATGAGATATCATTCAGCCATTAAAAGAGAGAACGTATGAATACATGATGCAACATGGATAAACCTCGGAAACATCATGCTAAGTGAAAGAAGCCAGACACAAAAGATCACATAGACCATGACTCCATTTATATGAAATATCCCAAATAGGTAAAGCCATAGAAACCAACAGTAGATTGGTGGCTGCCAGAGGCTGGGGGCTGGGACTAGGGGGCTGCTTAATGAATACAAGGTTTTATTTCAAAATGATGGAGATGCTTTGGAAGCAGGTAGAGGTGATGATTGTACAACATGATGCATGCACTGAATGCCACTAAATTCACTTTAAAATGGTCAATTTTATGTTACATGAACTTTACCTCAATTGAAAATTTGTAAAAGAACAGCATGTGCAAAAGACCTAGACATTAACAGCCTTGGCTCATTTGAAAAATCTTCAGTGGGCCGATGAAACTGGAGAAGCATGAAGGGACACAGAGGAAATATGCTAAGACGTAAAACTGCAGACAGAGGTAATAAAATCAGATCGTAGAGGCCTTGAAGGATAAGTATCATTTAGAGATAAGGAATGCAGAGCAAAAGAAGGAAACACTACAGATGATGGTATAAAAAAAGAAAAGATGAGCTTGAAAGAACAAGGAAGACCTTTGGAAATCTCTAGAAATAGCACCAACTTTGGTCTTTTCTTTAAAAATTAATAATAATAATAATAATAATAATAATAAAGCTTAGAAAGAGCTGTAGATAGTGACTGACTTGGTATTTCTTACTTAGCTGTGGATCTCCTGAAGCAGGAGGTGATCTTCAATGTCGTGCGCCTGGCTGCCACCATCATCATCTGCATTGGGTTTCTGCTGATGCTCTTGCCAGAGGAGTGGGATGAAATCACCCTGCGATTCATCAATAGCCTGAAGGAGAAGAAGAGTGAGGAGCCTGTGGAGGACATCGCAGAATCCAGTGTCCACCTGCGGAGCAGAAGCAGGGCCAATGGGGCAGTATCTATACCGCTGGCTTAAGGAGGGACACGTTCTAAATGCACGTGTCTGTATATTCTGTGAATATAATAAAATTTTCTTACTACCTGTATACTCATGTGATGGTATTAACTCTGAATTTGGATAAGTCATCTGTGAAATAAAGCCAACAATAAAAGTTTACATTTATATGCTTATCAAGAAAGTGTAAATAATCATAATAAAATTTTTTATTAAAACATATTCATCCTTGTTCTATTTCTTCTGTGTGTGTGTTTTGTGTTTTTTGGGGGAAGGGGGGGGGATTTTTCCCTAATTCACAAAGCTTTCTGAAAACATGCCATTCTATTAAACTTTTATGGATATGTATCATTAACTTTTTCCCACCTGGAATTGAGACTTTTTTAATTCAGAGGAAGTTGCATAAGAGGCAAACACATGAAAACACACACTTTATATATATTTAAGTCCTATAAGAGTGTTGAATTTGAAAGCTGGAAAGTACTCGTAAATAAACATATCAACAGAGCACCTTCTTTCTACATGTAAGACCTACATTAGGAACTAAGAAGAGGTGAGGATGTAGAAGACCCCATCTGTACTTTCAACATGCCTGCAGTAGTACAGAGCACAAGAGAGGTTACAAATACCTCTAATAGGAGGTACACATCTAAAAATGGCACAGTGGTGCTAGAGAGGGCATCTGTTACCAAACATCTCAAAAGTCCTTCACCACCAAGTTTTTGAGAGTCATTTATAGTTGCTGTCACTTCTTCAACTCCCATTCACTCTTCAACCCACCTGCTCCTATCACTCTCTAGAAAGTTCACTTCCCAAAGTCACCAATGAATGGCCTCTCTCTTGAACAAACCATATTGACACCATTCAACCCCCACTTTATTGTCCTCTCTGCAGCATTTGACACAATGACCATTCCTTTCTTCCTGAAATAGTTTCTTCTTCTCGATCCCACTATCATCGCCTATTTCTCTTCCTCTCTCACTGGCTGCTTCTCTGGGCTCCTCTTTCTAGTCTGATCTCATCATTGCCCTTCTTAGCATCTCACTCCACATTTTCACTTGGGGACCTCATATGCTTTCATGCATCAAATGTCATTCAGGGGGTGGCTGCGGCTTAAGAATCTTTATCTCCAGCCCAGAGCCTCAGATTAGACTATCCAAACGCCTTCTGTGCTTGGATGCCTCACTGTTCACTTTAGATTCCAGAATACAGTTAAATTTATCATCCTTCCTCTCCCTTGTTCCCTGTCTAGGTTAATGGTACCACCAATTATTAGCTGTCCAAGGCAGGGATCAATCTTAACTTCTGCCTTCCTCACCCCCCACATCTATACCCTAAGACTTGTTGCTTCTCTTTCTTAATATTTTCAAATCTATACACGTCCCTAGTATGTTACTTATACTCTGCCCAATCATCTCTTTCCCTGATTAATGAAAGTCTTTACATTGGACTCTAACTCCCAGTCTTAGCTCGTTCATCCCTCTTGGGCCTTGCAGAGTGACTTTTCTAATATACAAATTTGATCATTCTACTCCCTTGTGTGAAATACTCCAGTGGCATCTCATTGTCCTTAGGATAAGGCCCAACCATCTTTGCATGTCCATTTCACAAACCATATTAGATCAGTCTTAGCTAAGGGCAGGCCATTTCATAGCTGAGATTAGTTAAAGGCCAAAAGAGGCTAAATAACACAGCCTTTGTTGTGTTTTTACAAAATGCCAACATACTAAACTGATAAAGGGCATTTCTTCCCTAAGAGACTGGTTAGGGCAGGTAGCAATTTAAAATAATCTGCATTTCTGGGAAATTTAGTGCAAGATCCCAAGCCTTTCTGATATTTATTTTTATTTTATTTTTTTTCCCCATTCGAATGTCCCCAAAAGTGTAGGTGAGACAATACCTGGGCAAGCAGAGGGGACTCAGGATTCCACACATGCTGGCTTCATGGTCAATTAAAACCTTGACATTTTTTCATTTCTCTGTCATTTTTTTTTTTTTTTTTGAAAAGGCAATGCCAGTCCCCTAACATAGACAGATACCATGACATTAACTAAAATAATCACCAGGGTACACTTTAAGCTTCATGAAAAATGATACAAAATAAATGAAATATATTATTAATAAATGTGACTTTATTCATAATCTAAGTGGAGTTGGTTTTGACTATTTAAATGCCATATTGGCACAAACATTGTTTCTGTTTTGTTTTTAAATTACTGTTAAACAACAGTAATCACTGACTAAACCACTCCGATATTTTGCCATTCATTACTTAGCACAACATTTAAAACTGCATTTTGACATGTTTAAGAAGTGAGTTGTTTTGCTCTTTTGGATAATTCATTTTGAAAAGTGGAGTCAGCTACCCTGAAAAGCACTAATTCAGCCAATGACTGATCATTGTCATCAGCTCAGTCTGTATTAAGAAACACTTCCATTATGGTATACCTTCGTTTATCCATTCAACAATTCTTAAGTTTCACTTCCAGTTCTGGATTAGGGTGTGATGTTAGGTGACCACCACTGGCCTCTGCCTGCCTCTAGAGCAGTACTGTCTGATAGCACCCTGTCATCGCAGGAGTGTCCTCTCTCTGCACTGTGACGAATGGGACACAAACGTATAGGAAATGGTCCCTTCTCCTGGGAACTTCAGTCTTCACAGGGAAGTTGTTACCACCACAATTAAAACTGTAACAACTCAGAAATTTGTTTCAATCACTTTGGGAAGGTGAGATATCCCCTCTAATTCAGGTAAAGTAATCATAAATAAAGATAATAATACCTTTCCTTGCTTCCTCTCAGGGTCATTGTGAGTCAAATGGGATCATGTAGTTCAGTCACGGAACAAATATGACTGTGCCTCCTTTGTGCCTATCATGCACCTTCAGTGAGTCAAGTTTTGCTGGGTTTGGAGGATTCTGACATGGTCCCTGCCCTCATGTGGGGAAGTGCATTGCTGGGGTTACCATGATCTTGTCTTTTCATCCAGACCGGGTTCCTTCCGGAAGCCCAGGCCTTGGCTCTCAGTGACTGAGCAAGCAGCATAGCTCAGGAATTGAGAGCATCCATGTTGCAACCCAGGTGCGCTTCTCCAAGTGTGACTGGCAAATTACTAACCTCTCTTTGCCCCTTGATGTCATCATTAGTAAAATGAGGATATCAATACCTATCATTTGAGGTTGTTCATAATAATATAATAATATAAGCGTGATATGCAAATTGACCGAATGGCCCAACAGCAGAATGCCCAGACTACTAGGCTATGTCACACACTGGCGCCAGGTCAGCCAAAGCTGGTGGGATGCGATTGGTAGGGCGGCCATCGCCCCATGATAGCCCCACAGAGGGAGGCTCAGGCCACCAGCAGGATCAAGGGGGGACTCCACGATGTCCCCAAAGAGAGAGGCCCAGGCTACCCAACTGGGGCCCTGGGGTGGGTGGGCGGGACCTTCCTCTGCAGGGCGATCCATCGCGGGGCTCCCGGACTGTGAGCTGAACACATTGCCAAACAACCTAGAAGTATTAATGTTAGGATTTCCTCTCTCTGCTTATCCTTCCCCAACTCCTTCTCCAGAGCACTTACCCACAGAGCTGTGCTCAGCAAAGTCAGAGAACCTGGCGTGAAGAAGGGAATTTGACCCAAACGAAACACTGGAGGAAGCAACACAGGGCACGCACTCCCCCGCGGCACCGCATCAGGGCACGCAGGCCCTGCCCAGCCGGCGGAACGAAGTGCCTGACAAAAAGCCAGACAGGCGACTGGGGCTCCGAAATTGAAATCACCTCAGCCCCGTTCTGATCACTTCACAAACAAATTATAGGCAGATCGTGTTGCTCCTCCAGGCTTCGCACGCCTGCTTTGGTGCCGGCGCTTTGTCAGGATGCGCTGGAGGACAAACGCCTTGGAGAAGGACAGGGCAACCCATAGAAGCGTGAACGGTATGATCGGCCAAACGTCAGGATGTGTCTGATATTCAAGTACAAATCCTCTTTCTTATCCGTAAACCCTTGTCGCAAATACAAAGAACACCTAGTACAGGAGATGCCAATTTATCTGGCATGCTAGAAATCTCTATTAATTCTAATTCTTTTTATTTATTTCTCTCTCCCCCTCCTGCCCCTCCCCGGCCCAAACCTGTAGCAATTGAAGGTGAAGTGAGAACAGCAGAGTACAGGAGCTGCTGCTGCTGATGATGTGGGGGACAGGAAGGGCGTTAGGGGGTGGGAGGGAGGACGGGGGTGTGTGTAGTAACAAGAAACCAGGGACAGAAAGAGCAGAAGCCCGCGTTTTAAAGCTCGGATGAGCCAGTGTGGGCCCCCCCCCCCCCCATGTACGCCACAAAAGCAAAGGCTGTTTTGTCATTTTCTGCTGGAAACAGCAACACCAGGTCCTGTGGGAGCTGTGGGAACCTTAAGAGCAAGAATTCCAGCCTGGGCTCCAGGAATGGGTGTCAGTGGTTGTTCCAAAACCCCCTGGCTGAGTTTTCAGAATTGTGTGAGTTTGGCTGCTTTATTCTGGTGGCAAAAGTGCAGAGATCTCGGAGGCTCTAAAACCACAAAGTCACTAGCCACCCGAAGCTGTTGAAGTATAGCTAGTCCAAACTGAGATACGCTGCGTCAAATGCACCTGGTTCTGAAAACGTAGTATGGAAAAAAAGCACGTAGGCTATTTCATCACAGTTTTATATTCATTACATATTTGAAGTGGGAATATTTTGGATATCTAGGGTTAAATAAAGACATTATCCACTCTTTTCACCTGTTTCTTTTTACTTTTTTTATGTAGCTACTGGAAATTTAACATGTTCAAATTTGCTTCTGTAGCTCACATTATAGATTGCCCAGCAATTTAGTTTTTTTGTTTTTTAATTGTCTAAAGTTTTACACGTGTCTCCTTTTTTCCCTGATTGACACCCCCCCTTCCAGTCCCACCCTGGGCAAGACCCCACCACCCCAGTGTCTGTGTCCATTGATTATGCTAATATGCATGCATACAAATCCTATGGTTGGTCTCTAGCCCTCTCCCCAACCCCAGCAACCTAGTTTTAGCAAGCCCTGCTTGAAATGAACCACGCACATGCTCACGTGATGTAAATGATTTCCATGCATACTAAAGTTTAAGAACCACTAGACTAATGAGTGCTTGACTGTAAGCAGAAAATGTACTCATTGATATCATAAATTGAACTGTCATATGGACCAAAACTGTCACATTATAAAGG